TTTTTCTCTAAACACCGTTCAGTTCACATTTTACCTTGATCACGACAACGAGAAGGTGTTCTTCTCTGGCAAGGATAAATACGAAACCAGCGGACTTCTCGGCGCTGCCCAGCAGCAGATAATCACCGATCTGGAGAACCTTTACGTGAGCAAGACCGGCGCCGATGTGATTCTTCAGAGTGGCGATTGTGAGTTTCCCGCCCACAAAGCGCTGCTCATCGCCCGATCTCCCGTCTTTGCGAGCATGTTTAAACATTCAACGACAAAGGAGTCGATGGAAGGTCGTGTGGTGATCAAGGACGTCAGTGCCAAGGTGCTCCAGCTGTTGCTCGCCTTTCTCTACACCGGACTTGTGAACTTGGAAGGTGATGAGGAGTTGACAGTGGAACTGCTGGCAGCGGCTGACAAGTACGAGGTGGACAGTCTGAAGGCGATCTGCAGTGAGCAGCTGGCCGCCGGACTCAGCGCTCAGTCGATGTTTGCCACACTGCACTTCGCCGAGCAGTACAGCGCCCCAGAGCTGAAGTCAAAAGTGGTGGACTTTATTGCCAAGTAAGTGTTACCTTTTTTAAGCTTTTCACACTGTTTTTACTAGCACAAAAACATTTTTTTTTCAGTCAAACTTCCATTCAGGAGAAGGTGAAGGCGCTGCTCGACGTCAACGATTCGCCGGAGAAGGTGATTGCATTTCTGCAGAAGGTAGCTCAGCTGTGATGACAGAAAGTGTGCTTGTGTTACTTTTTTTTCATAATTAGCTTTATTATACAACAAAACCACTGCAATTTTGCTAGAGCTTTACAACAGTAAATTAAATCATCTTACGATTGTTAGTACAATTTGATCATCATTTAACATAAAATTCAAAATTTACAATGTGTTCTTTTAGAGTGGTTTCTCACTCATCCAAGTTATCATTTTTGAAACCAAATCCATCATATCAAAAATTGTAGTTTATCTCATTCTTGGCCTTTCTACTTGTGCTACTGATGTTTTCTTGAAACCCCTTTCAATATCAATAAAAATACATTTTCTTGACATTTGAAAAAAACAAAACGAAAAAAAGTGTGGCACTGAATCAGTTTCTTTGTGCACACATGTCAATGTTTTCCTTCTATTTTGGCTTCTTACCCTTCCTTATCTTATCATCACCCTGACGCTCACTAATCTCTGCTCACTTCACTCTGATTCTGATTGCCTGTATTGCGTCTTTGCTCTGTGTTTGTGTTTGTGTGCTATTCCCACACTGCCGCACACTCTGCAGAGATTACTGCATTTTAAGGTCAGCTGTGTGTTGTGACTTCTGTCAACCTAAATTT